AACTCATTAGACCTATTCTTATCTTCCATATCTTAAAACTTACTCAAGTTACAAAGGCTTAGACTAAAGAGAACTATTAATAACAGTGAACAGATTGGAGATGTGGATCTAACTTATGTCAAGTTATTATATCACACTTGAACACTTCACTGCACTTACACTTAGAATCACTTACTGCAATACACAGCACTTCCTATAATTTCACTTCACTTAAAATCAATTGATTTATTTTTTTGGTTAGGCCTAAATTAGTTTGATTTATCTGTAGCTTAAAGATATGTAATGCAATTAGTACAGTAAATAAAGCATAAAACTTAAAAAAAACAAATATAATTTATAACACAGTTATTACAAAAATATGTTACACTAAATTGCAAACCACGTGTCTGTAAGTGTAAAAAACTGTTTGCAGCCAATATGGCGGATACCTACTTCCCCGACTTCCAACGAAAATTACTGTACTTTTAAATTCCCTTATTGGTAAACCAAATACTTTTTACATATATTTAGATTGAAACGTTCTAGTTATGAAAGTACCAGAATATGCTAGTTAGAGAGTTTCAGAATATGAATAAAAACTTATAAAGACGGAGCAACTAATCACACGTACAGGCCTGTAGATCGCGTCACAGAAGACTGGAGACACTTTCAATACCACTATGTAATCCTTTGTGCCCAAAGTATATTGGCCTATGTATAATCGTCTCCAAAACTGAAAAAACATACAATCGAATACAACGCAATTACAATACCACAATTTTCACTGTACAGCCGACTGGACGCTGAAGGTCAGTTGCAAAGCGGTTAGAACTGTCTCTTGAGAAAGCCCATGATGGAAGTAGTGCATTATTGCCAGTTCTCACTTGTTCCTTGCTCACTCATATCAAATGTTCTGTGATGCTACATCTGGCACGACTGTAAATTGTATCATCTCTTTCTACCCCCTCCACCAAGGCACAGCACATGTGACTGGGGCGTGCTTCGGGTATGTCTACACTCATGCGCTTTCGTTTTCAACATTCAATTGTTTCAAATTCATCTCTTGTTAAGTGGCTTACCTTTGTACTAAATGCACGAGTTATTTCCTCTTTAAACTTTGACGGTTTCTTACTCACCGTACTTATCTGACTATGGGCCCACGTGGTTACAAATAGGTCATGCAGGATTTCTGCAGTTCCTAACACAATATCTGTATTCAACATCGTCATAAAGCAGTAACAATCGTTATGCTCCTGAGGTTTCCTTACCTCATCTAACAACATAATTCTACCGTGGTTTTTCTCTTCCATTTCTTGAGTACTCAAATTACTGCTACTAAAATTAGCTTCCTTTAACTGATTGGTGGTAATCACGCACGCTACATATATACCCAAGATCCATGGGTTCTACTATAACTTCTGCGGGAATATTTACATCTTCTTTCCCCTTAATTATACCATTGATGAAATTTTGCGACAATGGAGGGAGAATAGTTGACTCGTCGTGACACTCCAAACACGGTCGGGATGTTCTCGGGTTCTACCCTGAGCTGGGCACTTATCCGCTTCTTCTCCGTGATTTATGGTCATGGGGGTGGCCTGCACTCCACACGCCTGAAGTGCAGTTGTCGGGAGTTCCCTCAATGATCTCAGCCTCAAATCCCACAAGATACTGCGTTTTCCCAATTACTAAAGTACTGTTCTTTAAATCTACCCTTGCCTCTATATGACATAATATGTCAACCCCTAAAATTCCACTATACTCTACAGCAAGAGATGCAACTACAAATCCATAGCAAAACTTTTTTTTCCCTATTGAAAATTTCACATCCTGTGTTCCCATTATTGTCAAAAGATTCCATGACACCCTTTGCCACTTGTTTGGTAGGTTCGATTTCCGCATTACTTACTCCTGCTTTTAGAATCAACTCGCTCCTGAATCAACTAGAACTCGATGTTCTTTTCTGTCAATGGAAATATTCAATAATAATTCTGTCCCTGTGCTGATGGTTGAAAATAATTTCATTAATTCCTCCTTGTCATGCCCCCGTTCTTGGGGCTCGGCGGTGGGGGTCGATTCGCTGAACCGTTTGGGTTTGGGTCTGAATTAGGTGAATTTTTATCTAGGCTCCTCGTATCCCCTGTATGCGGGTCGACTGGACATTCGATATTTCCCTTTCGTATGACTCACAGGTTCAACTACACTCTGTGAGGTCCCTGGTGAACAGGTGGTCTGATCAGTTGGATGGTTGACTGTCAAATCATTTACTCCTCCGTAATTTGGTAAATAATCGGTACGCTCAATCTCTAAATCTTTGCATTCATACCCTAGGGCAATAAATCGTTCAATGATCCTCATTTCTACTTCAAAAACTACGGTCCCCGTAGAGGTTTCATTCGTAAAAACTTGATATAATGAAGCGGCAAATCCCTTTGGTTTACCCTCAAAAGCAATTTCCAAATACGAGTCAACTTCTAAGTTTCCAAAATTATATGCAAACTCGTTAACACGCTGTGGATTGATCTTCATATACTTCCTTAAGAAGTTTTTAACAAGATTTTTAGCAAATATATTTGAGCCTATAAGAGCGTCACTATTCGTTGCTCCTACGACGTGTACCAATAAAACCGTAAATTTTTTGAGTTAAGGGAGGTCTACGACAGCACGACATAATGAAACATTTTTTAAAAATTTACCCACATTCTCTTTCTGCTTTTAAAACACCTCAAATCACTCACTCAGTTAAGGTTCTTTTTTGTCACAGTCCTCTAATTTGAGAAGATGTGTTTAATCACGACGCTGCCACCAATTTGTTGTGGTGATATTGGAGGTGGGTAAGATGAGGGGTTATCGTTAATTAATTAAACTATCTATAATAATATGATTATATAAAATGGTTACACAACTATCAATGATTATCAAAGTATACACATATAACCCTAAAAACATAAAACAATATACTTATAACCTATACTTAACTATGACATATTCAATCTGATACTCTGTTACAATTCTCAGAAGTACTTTACTGACTTCGTAACAATTCTTGAATGACTTTAGTGACAGAAACACAGACAACACTCACAGTGCACAGCCTGCTTGTTAGTTTTGGCTTCCCAGATACTCGTCTCGACGAATACCGCTTGATATTTGCCTTATTTTATACTAATAAAAGTAGTCCAACTGCCCGGGGAGCGGCAGAGTGAAATCTGAATATTGGTCTCTGAATGAGTTACGCTTTCACCGATAATTGCCTCATGTTTTATTACGCATAGAGTGTGACAGTGCGTGGATTCATAGGTCAACCTTGAGTCACTGTCAAACCGATATTTCAAGACCACAATGTCCTTCCTGTTGGTCATTACAATAAGTTACTCATTATACAAAAAGAGGTGAAATTCATACTGTCGAAATTTAAGGTGTGGGAGCATGTTGGTCTCCAAACACAACAGTTCCGGTTCTTTTTGTTTGCAGGAATGGTAGTTCTCAAAATGATGGGAATAAAAGTTGAAAAATATTATGCCTCAGAAGTGGACAAAGATGCTATAAATGTTAGCAAATTTAATCATGGAGACAGAATTGAGCATATAGGAGACGTAGAAACGCTGAGCCCCGAAAAGCTGTCTCGTCTTGGTCCCATAGATTTGCTCTTAGGTGGTTCTCCATGTAGCGACTTAAGCCTGGTCAACCCTGCTCCCAAGGGCCTCTACGGTGGTAAGTGGGTACTGTTTAGTTAAGCACATTCTTAACCTTTTAAAACCAAAGATCACAACTCCCCTCTTCCATTCTGTCGGAGGTTTTGTATATGAATAATATTTCATAGTTCATTTCTTATTGTGAAGGAAACTGAACACTTCACCATTACGAAGATCAATTTGTTAACGCTGTTTAAGGAGTTTACTCTCTGTTTACACTGAGTGTCATATGAAACACATAAATTAAAATGATTTTTTCAAGCAGGTGGGACACATATTTACCACTTGGCTTTAAAGGATTTTTTCTGCTCTGTAGAAACTGACCGTCACATCACCAATGCACTCTCTGGCACTCGTACTGAACAAAGATTTGTCTGAATTCTGTAACAACATAGTATTTTCAATGACTACAGAAACTGAGATGCCTCACAACATTCAAATTAATTTCCCAGAAACATAAAAGAGTTTGTAATTCTGCTAATGAGAACCCATATTTTCATTTCTAAGGTCTAAGATCTATAAATTTCTGCTTCAAGATTTCATCAAATGCTGGTGCGCTGCCCTGTCGGAAGAAACAATTACTTCAGTTCAGAGCGTCCAGAGTATTATTGATATAACACTTTGAGATATTCTCAGAAATAACAGTGCCCTCATTATTTGTGATAATACCTTTTGTTAAATTTGGCCATAATGCTAACTTGCGCAGGTTCGAAAAGAACTGCTTTCGGCTGCTGATCACGTTCAATCATAACTAAATGGGAGGTCTATCTAATATGCAAAATACGTGTTTTTCATTGCTGAAAGTCGCCACATCTACTGCAGTAAAATTGTAAACAAAACATGACATGCACAGACTTCTCTTCTTCTTCTTCTTCTTCTTCTATGGCTCTCTGGTCGGTATTCGGTCCACGGCCTCCTCAATTCTCCTCTTCCATTCGGTCCTATCCTCCACTGCCTTCTTCCAATTTCAAATCCTCAGGAGCAGTGTGGCATCCGTTCCAACTGCATCCTCCCGTCTGTTCCTGGGTGACATACATAGACATTATGATACAAATACTGCATGTCGTTAAAACAGGTCTTGAAGAACAGGGTCAAATGTTTTGGTTAGATTAATCTACCTCAGAATAGGGTCCAGTGAATGGCTGTTTCGTAAACACTGAAAAGAAACTTAGGTCCCACAGAAGGTGGAGAATTTTCTGACTTAAGAAACCAATTACTGGCTTTTCAACATGGACTCTGTTTGAGGGAGTTAGTTAATTAATCAGAGTAGACAAGACCTGATGTTCAGTTACAAGTGACCTTACATCCAGGCAAATATTCTGTTTCATGTCATAAGACATTAAACATTATACAGTGGTTATGATGCATTTTCTTCAGAAACACTGATGTTCGTTGATCTATTTTCTTTAGCAAGATGTATACATCACAACACTGAAATGTAAGACTGAATAACTTTTGCAGTATCATTCACAAATATTCTTTCTTCAGATGCACCAGCATTTGATGAAATCTTGAAGCAGAAATTTATAGATCTTAGAAATGAAAATACGGGTTGTCATTAGCAGAATTACAAACTCTTTTATGTTTCTGGGAAATTAATTTGAATGTTGTGAGGCATCTCAGTTTCTGTAGTCATTGAAAATACTATGTTGTTACAGAATTCAGACAAATCTTCGTTCAGTACGAGTGCCAGAGAGTGCATTGGTGATGTGACGGTCAGTTTCTACAGAGCAGAAAAAATCCTTTAAAGCCAAGTGGTAAATATGTGTCCCACCTGCTTGAAAAAATCATTTTAATTTATGTGTTTCATATGACACTCAGTGTAAACAGAGAGTAAACTCCTTAAACAGCGTTAACAAATTGATCTTCGTAACAATGAAGTGTTCAGTTTCCTTCACAATACGAAATGAACTATGAAATATTATTCATATGATCTTTGGTTTTAAAAGGTTAAGAATGTGCTTAACTAAACAGTACCCACTTACCACCGTAGAGGCCCTTGGGAGCAGGGTTGACCAGGCTTAAGTCGCTACATGGAGAACCACCTAAGAGCAAATCTATGGGACCAAGACGAGACAGCTTTTCGGGGCTCAGCGTTTCTACGTCTCCTATATGCTCAATTCTGTCTCCATGATTAAATTTGCTAACATTTATAGCATCTTTGTCCACTTCTGAGGCATAATATTTTTCAACTTTTATTCCCATCATTTTGAGAACTACCATTCCTGCAAACAAAAAGAACCAGAACCAAACTGAAATTTCAACAAATAACAAGCCAGTCAGTGAGAATTTTTCTTTCAACCTTTGTTAGTGCCCAGATGTGGTATGCAGGAAACCTTTTACCAATGAGTCTGATGCAAATGTCACAAGTCAAATACTAATCGCATCGTCATTCAAGATATTCCACGGAGATGTCACTCTCAGTGCAATGATACTTAGCACTGCAAAAGACCGCACACATGAGTAAGTCACTGACCATTTATTTTAATCAGATTTATGGTTTATTTTAATTCCATATAGTTAAACACTGCAGATATGATAGAGACACATGTTTTGTTTTTAATGTGTCCAATATCTTCAAAAATATAACAAGTATGATAAAAAATAAATTACAAAGATGGTCAGATGTTATTTTGCCCCTTAATATGTTACTATAATGATATCACGCATTATAACATAAAGTAGCCCTCGATTTGCACAGGTCCAATTAGCGCCAATTTTGAAACCAGAAAGTCAAAAAAAAATATTTTGCTATTATTTATATATAATGTTTTACAATGTTTCTCGTACTGCTTCCTATACTAAATCATAATTCTTGCATCGCTGATTTTGAATAAAACTATAAATACAGTCATCCCTGCAATTTCATTCTATCCCTATGAAAGTAAGCAGTATACATCAAATCTCACCTCTTCATGTGATCAGACTTGACTTCTATCCCTGCTACTGGTCCTGATATTTACATAACTGCTGCTAACCTCATCACATGTCAATACGACTGAAACCTGACAACTCTCGACATAGGGTAACTGTCACATGTATCGAACCAGACTACCTATCACCTCTAACAGTCATCTACTGGGCTTGAGATTTTTGCAAGCCAATCTAAGTTCATAATGAATACCCAACCCCAAATTTACATGCATTATTACCTATCCCCTTGCTCAACACAGCAAACTCAAATTTACCACAAGCTCCAATCACTGTGCACACTATACTCACATGTCAACAAAACTAAATTACTTACATTGGCACTTCTTCTTCTATGGCCTCCTCAACTCCCCTCTTCCATTCTGTCGGAGGTTTTGTTCTTCCTTTTTATGGTGCAAGGTTGTTAGCCTTGCGACCAATCCCCAACCTGGAGGACCAGGGTACCTGTCTTAGTCTGACCTCTCCCCCTCGACCAATCTGGCTAGGGAGGCCCTACCAGTAGCTAAGCTACAGCCAGCATAGCTCTTGGGGTCACTGAGGTACTCAAGCCCCACTACCACGACAAGGTGCAGGTACCATTAAGTGGGGACATTGACACTTACTTATTAGTAACAAGACCACATTAAAGGCTTCACAGCACTACACATATCACACGTGTAACAAAACCTCTAATTAACAAAATCATTTCACAAATAGTCACTACCCACGTCTATAAATGATATCTAACCTTAAATTTCAATAGGCAATGACCCCTATATTGATTAGAAATCATCAATGCCTCAAATGTACCACAGACACAGCAATAATGCCACTCACTCACTACACACAACACTGGAAATCTTGCAGGTTAATCTAGAAAATTATACTCTAGGAACTAGTTACTGCAGACAAAATATGTCCAAAGAAAGAATAAGTATTTTTGTAAAAAAAATCTAAAATCAATCAGATTTAATGCATCACTGCAATGAACAAAACATAGATCTTTAAACTTTGCATACCGTGTAGTGCATTAAAATATAAAATAAGTAAACAACTATTAACACTATAAAAAAGCACTTGCCATTTTACGCGTTTAAACCTCAAGAGGTCATCAGTGGCATCAGGGAAATTAATTAATTTAATCAAATGGTTTAAACTGTATTTAGAAAATAAATAATGAATAGGGTATTTAACAAAATTACTTCACGCGACACTGCACTTGAGGTTATTCACAAGGGCTGAACTCTGCACTTACTTATTGTTCGGATGGTCCGGTGGCCGTAGTTGGTCTGTGGCGAGCTGTTGTTGTATCGCCCTTACCTGTGAACTCCATAATCGTAGGTGTGAGACTGTCAGTTGGAATGCATGGGGTATAGATAAAAGCTCGAATTCAGGGTGGCGAACTATTGAAAATTTACTTTCTCCTGTTCAATGCCAGGTCAAATAATACGTTTGAATCTTTGGCGTTTTAATGATGGCTTTTGTTTACTTTTGTATATATGGAATTTTTCTAAAATATCTAGCATTTTACCCTTTGGAGCTACTCTTAATATGTCCATGATATCTATGGGGCCGTGTTCGGCATATTTCGATTTTGTTAAATTGAATCCAGTTTAAACCATCTGAATAAATGAATTAATTTTCCTGATGATGACCTTTTGAGGTTGAAACGCATATGGCAATAGTCTAGTGTTAATAGTTGTTTGCTTATTTTATATAGAATGCTTTGTTGTGCAATTGGAATCTAAATTCTCCAACACATATGTCCTAGCTATATACAGATTTCCCACAGGTGATTTTGAAATATTGTTTAGAAAATTAGAAAGCACTATAAATTACCTTCACTAACCTAAGGCAGAATTTGTCATTTGCAGTGACTTCAATGTTAATTATCTTACTGAAAGCTACCACAAACAATGTCTGAACTCCCTACTAACATCCTTTAATCTCATGTCAAGTTAACTTCACCACAGAATTCAAAATTACTCCGGGACTGCCACTAATAATGTTTCTATACACAGTTCCAGGAAAGTTCATATTTGTATTGCACCTGTGACCAATGGGCTCTCTGATCATGACGCTCAACTTCTAGTTATAAAAAATTTAGAATCGATCTCCAATTATAATTACAGGAAACGATTCAATCTTATAAATAATGACACTATTAAAGAATATATAATGCACCTAAATAATGAAAACTGGGAGTCAGTATTAAACAGACACGTAGATTCAAAAATGAAACACATTCCTAAATATCTTCTTAACAATTTTTGAAGCGAGTTTCCCCATCGCAACAGAGAAAAATATGGTTGAAAATAATGAATAGATTACTAGACATCAAAACATCTTGTAAACATAAACAAGATCTTTTCCTAAATTGCCAAGTATGTCTATCACAGACCAATTTCATTACTAACAGCATTCTAAAATATTTTTTAAATTCATGTCCTTGCAGGTGAATAATTAGGATCTAGAAAAAATCTCTCAACTGATAGTCATGTTCAATTTTACAGATAAAACCCTAAGTGCACTAAATAATAAAGTGCATGTTGGTGGAATATCTTGTGATCTTGCTAAAGCATTCAAATGTGTACGAGTAAACCATGAACTATTACTACCAAAACTAAATTTTTATGGAATTTGAAATATAGCTGCTCAGTGGTTTAAATTGCACCTTCATGACAGAAAGCAACAAGTAGAAATAAAATCATCATATTCAAATGATAGAACCTACTCAAATTGAAGCATTGTAAAACATGGAGTGCCTCAAGGTTCAATACTTGGTCCTCTTGTTTTTCTCAAATAAATCAACAACCTGCCCCCAACCATCAACTCTCTATTTAAACCTATACTCTTTGCTGACGATGTCACATCCAGAAACTGTTTTCAAAATCGCATAAATGATGTCTTTGCTAGATTGAACATATGGATTCAAGCCAATAAACACATTAAATTTTGACAAAACAAATTTCATGAAATTTTGTACTAACAACAGAATTTGTATAAATCTAAATGTGGGGTATTTATTTAGTGTTCTGTCTGACGACAGGTCCATATGAACAGGATCCTTCCATCCTTTTCTCGGACTGGGACCTGTTCATATACGTTCTTGGCAGATGATCCAGAAGTGGTTTGCCATTGCCTTCTTCTGTGTGTGAATGGAGTAATTGTTGGGATGCCACGGAGGAAAACTCCGTGTTGCCTAGACCACGGCCTTGCCCAACACAAGTTATAAATTCGGTCACCGCCGGGAATCGAACCCGAGACCCCAGGATTACAAGGCCAGCGTTCTAACCGCTAGACCACCGTGGCGGTCCAAGTAACTTGGTAAAGAATGAGAATGATCTGTTTGTAGACACCCACAAAATTTATAATAAGTGGAAGAATCACTTCTCTCAGCTATTGAATGTTCACAGGGTTAATGATGTTAGGCAGACAGAAGTACATACTGCTGAGCGATTAGTACCTGAGCATAGTCCTTTTGAGGTTAGAATTGGTATTGAAATTTGGAAAAGGTATAAATCGCCAGGTAGTGATCAAGTTCCGACAGAACTGGTTCAAGCAAGAGGGGAAACATTACTCCTAAATTCTATTTGGAATATGGAAGAAAGGCAATAAAGCTTACTGTAGCAATTATCGTGGCAAATCTCTTACAAACTTCATAAAACTTTCATCCAGCACCCTCCTCTCAATATAAAGTCGATAGGTAGACGAAATTACTGGGGATCATCCATGTGGGTTTCAACATAACAGGTCAACTACAAACGAGATTTTTTGTACTCATATATTTGAGAAAAAATGGGAGTGCACTCAGACAATACATCAGCTATACACAGACTTCAAGAAAGCCCATACTTCAGAAGGGAAGTATCGTACAATATTCTCAGATTTTGATATACCCATGAAACTAGTTACGCTTATTAAAATGTTTAAATGAAACGTATAGTACAGTCCATATAAGTGAACATTTGTCTGACATGTTTCCTGTTCAAAATGGTCTGAAACAAGGAGATGCTTTATCACCATCGCTTTTCATCTTTGCTTTAGCATATGCAATTCAGAAGGTCCAAGAAAACCAAGTGGGACTGAAGTTGAACGGGATGCGTTGGCTTCTGGTCTGTGCCGATTATGCAAATCTACGGGGGGATAACATAAACACCATAAAGAAAAGGACATAAGCTCTAACTTATGCTAGTAAGTAGGTTAGTCTAGAAGTAAACACAAAAAAATAACTAAGTACAGATAGGACTCGGTTTATGCCTCTCATAGATCACGATTGCAGGGGGTGATGAGTCATGACTCAGCCCGACTTCCTAGACACAGGTGGTCCCGACATTGTTATAAAACTATAATACTAAATGATAAACTGTGGCCAGAAATTTAAATATTTAAACAAAAAATGAAATTTAAAATGCGACGACACAAATGAGCTCGAGAGTCATGGTGGAGAGCTTTCAACAGAAGAATTAGAAGAGCTAGCTGAGCAACTGTCCAAAGAAGACACAGAGGAAAGTGAAGCTGACCCTGCAATGCCGGTTAGGACACTAACAGTGAAATCAATGCAAGAAGCTATTGCTCTTATTAATAAGGGATGTGAGATCTTCTGTAGCAACGACCCCAACTGGGAGTGGAGCTTAACTGTTAAGAGAGGAATTGAGAGTTCTACAGCAATACTATTACTTATTATCAGAAAAGAGGAAAACCAAACAGTCATCTATTCTGTCGTTTTTAAAGCAGTACATTTTCTTTCTTTTTCTTAAACATTACACAATTTTCAATACATAAATTTCATAAAATAAAACCTTTTTCAAGTACTTTGTGTTGATTACTTAAATTCTTGGAACGGAACCTAATGTATTTACGTACGTTCCCATTACATTTTTGCTTTAATTTACACCGCTTCATTTTACGCTGGAAATCTCGGGAACCTAACCCCGGTGTAAACCGAGTCCTACCTGTATATGTTGATGTCTCGTCAGCGGAATGCAGGGCAAAATCATAACATCGAGATAGCTAATGAATCCTTTCAAAATGTGACAAAGTTCAGATACTTGAGAGCAATAGTAGCAAATCAACATTTTTCTAATAAGGAAATTACAAGCAGATTAAATTGGGGTAATGCTTGCTACCTCTCAGTCCAGAGCCTTTCGTCTTTTCATCTGCTGTCTAAAAACATAAAATTGAAATATACAGAGCTGTAATTTTGTCTGTGGTTTATTATGGGTGAGAAACTTTGTCTCTGACATTGAAGGAGGAATGTAGACTGAGGATGTTTGAGAACAGGGCGCTGAAGAGAAGGGATGAATTACTAGGACACTGGAGAAATATGTAGAATTACGAGCTTTGTAAGTTGTACTTGCCAAATACAATTACATTAATCAAGTCAGGAAGGATGAGATGGGCAGGGCATGTAGCCCACATGGGACAGAAGAGGTATGCATGAAATGCATACAGGTGTCAATGGGCAAACCAGAGGGAGAGAGACAAATAGGAAGATCTAGACATAGGTAGGAGGACAATATTAAGATGGATTTTGGATAAATAGGTTGGGGTGGTATGCATTGGATTCATCTGGCTGAAGATATGGACCAGTGGCAGGCTCTTGTGAACACAGTAATAAACCTTTGTGTTCCATAAAATGTTGAGAATTTCTTCAGTGGCCGAGCGAAAGATGGCTTCACAGGAAGAACTCACTCCATGAAGTAACTAAATAAGCACATTAAAACTTACACTAGAAGCCTAAAAGTAGAACATCATTTGGTTTGATTAGGCAAACCAGAGAAGTGACACATAAAAGTTACAAACAAAAAGCTTCTCTTGAAATGCTGCTGGCGTTCTCCTGGGTTCTGACACTGTGTGAACACCAACAACATTGTCAGTGCTGCGTAAACCTCAAATGTCACGTATCTCAAAATGTTTACCGCTTGAAATAATTCCCTTTTCAGCAACATATATGACCCAAACAATTCTCTTGTGAAGTTATGTTATTAACTTTCACCAAAGTGGTTCGATTGAATCTCAATGTCTATTGTACATGAGGCTAGAGTAAGCCAGAATGACAGTAACAATTTAATCATTCCAGCAACTTAGCATGATTTAAGCACATCTAAATGAATCATGAATTATAACATATCTTTGTGTGTTAAACTTAATACTGACTATTATTTCTAAAGTACATAGTTCTTTTAACATAGAAGTTTTCTGTGTCAAAACATTCACAATTAAATATACTCACACTGCATGATCTATTAGAGTTCTTAATCTGTCATGTACAGAGTAAAGTAATGAAGCAATGAACAGCATAACACACTTGATATTTGAGTGAACAGTCATACAGCATTTCTTAGGACAAAAGCTCTTGGTCCATACCCATAGCATCCAGAAACAGTCCCATTGGAGTTCTCTTCAGGCCAATCACTTCCATTTTATTGACAAGTTTGTTCTTCACATTCCGAAGTCTCATAGATGAGTGGATGAAGGTCACTATGAAACAGATGTTAAAACTTATGGTATTATTAAGGGAATGAGTGCATGGTACCATACTGGCCCAAGTATAGGCTGTCATTTTTATTACATGAAACAAATGTAATGTTATCAATTATTATTTTTTCAATAAACCTACATGAGTTATCGTTTGACATAATACGAGTGGAAAAGAGCACCAAAAATTATCTAACACACTGTGCCAACTGCAGAAGTTACAAAACAGATCAACAGCTCATCTTCAGCAGCCTGCCTTCATTTCTGAAATCTAAAGTCAAAATTTCCTTTGTTTTCCCTCTTCTAACTCTGACTCGCTACCCCGACTTGCTTCATACGAAATAAATTACAGAATAACATGACACTATACTCTGGGATGAAATTTAATTCATCAAACCTAAGCACCATGCTGCACTGAATATAAAATACTTAGGGATTTTTGTAATATTTCCTACTGGACACTTTGCACAGGTATACCTCACCATATACTGGCCTAAAACTTATTTATATTACAGATATAAGCAATTAAACTTCTAATAAAAACTGAGTTCACTTGCTCATAATGGCAGAGACCTTCAGCAACTTCTCCTAAAAACTTTCTTCGTCACCTCCTTCCCTCAACCACGTTCCCACTCCTCTATTCTGCCAATCGGGCCCTTCGCATCCCACTTGCGAGCTACTGCCTGCCGTACACGAGGCTTCATGAAACCCCCAATCTATTCACCTCAAAGATGGCAACTGCACTGTTTGCCAAAATGGAAAAACCACATAAATGTAGGTCATCCCCAAAAGCTGAAGTTACACAGTTCAACCTGAGCTACAGATGAACTTCACTATTTACAATTATTTCACTTCAACTCTGTTTCAATGCTGAAGACTTGTCTTGCTAATTACTATTCCAATATGTGCATGAAAAAATTCCAGAGGTCTTTATCATGAATCACATTACATGGCACTGCTTTCTCTGAATATGCATCATGGGAACGTAGGAGCAAATATGGAGGACAACTTGAAATGCAAAACTTTTAAAAGACAGATGAAATGCAGCAGCACACCACCAGTACACAGTCATTACTTCAATCCTGCTGGATCAACATATTGCCTAGTTTACAGCATATTTTATTAGACAGGAAGAAAAAGGGGAGGGGAGGGGGGGCAAAAATTAACTGGCCTGCTGCCCAGGTTTGTCGAGACACGTAAGAAAATACGCAACACTTCTATGCAATGGGCACTGAAATATTGCAACAGTTACACAAATACTGGAGCAAAAAGACTTAAACGCGACAGTGCCTCTGCTAAGCATGTCACTTTACATACTTCGCAATTAAGCTACGTAGGCTAGACCTGCTGTAATTTTCGAAAGTCTGAACTGCACCTAGTTCATGATCAACACCTACTACTCATGAGGCCCTGCCAGAAATGTGCTCCTACTAGGTTCAACATCACAGAACAAATATGTTACAACACAGAACTGTTATTACAGTGTGTCATTCACTTATCTACGCAGAATACCACATAAACTGAAAGATCTTGGTGAGGAGGCTGGTCTAGAAATAAAAACAAATGAGTAAATTTATATTAATGTTCTTCCACTTAAATGCTGGGTAATAAAAAATTAAAAGCAGGTTAATTTCTGGGAATTCGTCATCATAGAGCTCATTCTAATGTATGCATCCCTCTATCTATAAATGTAAAGATTACAGCATAAAAAATAAAAAAAACTCCTTGCTGCTTTATATTAAATGAAACTTGGTCTGTTACACTGAGGAAGAACACAGATCAAGCGAGAACAGGGAGATGGGGAGACTATGTGGCCTGACAGAGAGAAAGTGGCAGGACAAATGGGAAACACTGAATAACACCAAATAAAAACAATGAAATGTGCAAGGCATGAAGCATGCATGACAGCTGAAAAATGCATGTAATACTTTTGGAGGAAGAAAACATGAAGGGAAGAGTAGGCGCTGAGGAATATGAACATAGATCGGAGGACAATGTTAAAAATGATCAGGTGGTTTACTTTTGTAAACACTGTAATGAGCCTCAGTTCTTGTTAGCAGTGGAACTCTGAAGACGTCTTGACATTTCATTTACTTAATAAAGATATATTATAAATGTTGTAGTTTCAATGTAATTTGCAAAGACAATGCAGCAACAAACCATATTACTGATCAGTACAGACAAGGTTCACTCCTATAAAATTTGACAGGTAATGCTATGCTAGTCATACATATTAAGACATCGCTAAAATTACTAACATGTGAACTTAATTCTCAAAATTCTTTTACAAAACGTTTTTAGTCTTATAACTGATTAAAATGGATAAATGTCAATATCACGTGTAAAAATCATGCTCAAAACATTAAACTTTCACAGCATGGCAGCAATGTGACATTTATGTACAACTTCAAATTCTTTAATTAGAAGGCAGCACTATGCCAACCCATGAGAATACTTCAGGAAGTAAAACTGAATGACTTAGTGAATGGAGAAGACTATTCTTTGATGTCGACTTTAACAGCACAAGGAAGCGCGCACACTTTCAGACTGCAGTGGCAATATGGTTAATCAACAAGACACGACTTTTATCTTTTGGTACCATTAAATGTGTGAAATGAAAATTCAGAAATGCAAGAACAAATACCAATTATGCCAGAACTTACACTTCAAAGTGACAGAGGAAGAACTGGACAGGTGAAGCAAGCAATGCAAAGATATTGTGTGCGTCCATACATACCCACGACTGGTAACAGAATACCGAGGAGGAAAATTATTACTGAGCCAAGCATGTACACAATGAAATATCCTCCACCCAACACAATGAGGACACTGATGACTGGATGGTCCTTCTTGAACCTTGTAGCTGACCTCCTGGCATTTGTCAAATAGTAGAACAAACCAAATGCGACCCCAATGGCCAACATCCCACACAGCATTTTCATGGGATGAATTATGCTGTAAATAAAAGTTGAGTGTAAAACTGCACCATGTGATTTGCTAGGAAACTTCTTCACCAATCAAAATTCATGTATGAAGGAGTGAGGGTACAGTTCTGTGTATTCTCATCTTCAACACCAGTTACTGCAAAGTATATTTAACAAATTACACATACAACTTTAAGAAACATGATATATTTCATAATACGCTGCACAAGTTTCTTTACCTACTGATCTGTTCTGTAAACTGTATGAACTGGAGATTGTATACAGTGAGAACCAAGTTGCATCTTGGTTATGTAATTTTGTTCATGGAGTACCTGAACCTTCTATTGCCCCTTCCTACTCCTCTGACCCACAAGTTTATCTTCCTCTCACCCCTTCCCCCTCTCTCTCCAATAATGTCACCCACTGTCCACAACCTTCAAACAAGGAAGTCACTTTATGGTCTGACCTGCAAGCATCAGCATCACGCTAAAAGTAAAAAAAAATACCTGGGAATAGGTTTAATTCTGTTCGTACAGTTTGTCAGTGCAAAAACTGACATTTCTCACTTCTCCCTTGTTCCTTCTATTATGTCAGTTCTCGAAGTACGTTCCTTTTATCGGTGAAGCAGACCTTCGTCAGCTTAACATTATGTCACACGTGATCAGCTACAATTACCAGTTTTTAACAAAGCAGCTATGAACATGATGGTAACGCTGTAACTGGAGGCCATGTCAGGGAAGAAAATGGCACACCCACTGTTTGAACTATCATACAGTTGTATTAATAAATCTGAGAACATGCTTAACATGGGCTACTAAAGGCATTAAAATATCTTGCAAACATAAAAGATATCTTAGCTAAATTGTCAATGTTGTAGCAACCAAATACAGAAAATTCACTACAGGAAATATTTCAAGATACTTGTTCAAGTCATCAAAGAGGCTAAACACATGCAATACAATTAACAGATACTAGTCAATTAATAAAATCAAATCAGGGAAATATTCTACAGAAGAAGTGACCACATTAACAAAGATAAAAGATAATGCAATAAACGATACTAAAGACGGCTGTCTTCTGGGTTACTGCACCAAGTAGCCTGGTAGAAGTTTACCAACGTTTCAGACGTTCTTGCTGCCAGAACTAGGCTCAGAATGCTTTGATGTGACTGTCACAACACTCATGAAAACATAAACTTTAAAATCAGTGTACTTTCCTTACTTCTATTTTATCATGTCATATGAAATTATTTGCAGGGGATCCTCAACACACAATAAAAAAGTATTTTACATGCAAAACGTAGGTCATTAGAATAATGGCAGACATTAAAGGGATCAAGAATGACCTAGAAGCAAGTGGTTGTATACCAGGATCAAACAACCACTACAGAAAAAAACCCACCACACTCGTTTTTAGTCACAAATGTTGTTGCACAGGCAAGAAACACAATGCAAGACTTCTTTCAAACAACAATGTTAAAAGTAATTATACAGCTTACAAAGAAACATTTGACATTTAAAAACAGTCATGACTCACCCGACCAAAATAAATATTACTATGGAGAGAACGAAGTAGTTTGTTTGGTAATACAAAAGATTGCTGATGACTCTGTTACCCCATTTCTCAAAATCCTTAAAATTTGGTATCTGAAACCTAGCAGACACCAAGAGAAAATCGTCCAAACTCCTTAAAGGTGATATTTCTACTTCCATTTTCTTCTTGGTCATTTTGATATATCGCGATTACACCGAATCGAATGAATCCTATCGAATTCTTCCATCGTTACAAACTATCGATTAGAACAAATGTTTAAAATAACCAACAAATTTAATCGCATAGCAGTCGAGTGATTCTAATAGCTGTATTGATATGTGGTCATTAAAGCACATGATAGACCTACAAATGTAAAAACACGTGGATGTTCCAATCAGACTATACGTATAGACGCTCTAAGGTTCATTCCTTAGAGTGAAAAGCTGAAAATCTCTCGGACCATTTAAGATACCTAGACATAATGACAAGACCATGTAAGATACTTAGACATACTGACAAGTATGGAACGTTCTTTGCCGAAAATACCCACAGTTTTTCCGAGTAAACAGCATCGTACCTCGTGCGTGGGGAGGATTTCAAATGAAATTAACTTCCGCTAATCATCCCACCGCGTAACCCGCGATATAGTAGAAGTATCTGAATCCACCACTAAAGATGCCTCATTATCTTATCTCCCATTGAGTTAACATAGCCAGGCACTACATTCTTATATAAAATGAAATCACCGGGTACCAAATGTCCACAGCCTTGAACAGAATACAATTTACTTATATTCCATAAAACCTTCATAAGCCCTAGCCAATGATGTAGAGCACTCCATACAAATATAAATTACAGTTACGACAATAATTTGCAGTCAATTATAGTATTACCACAAAAATACACACGAAAGCATAAAAACTATCGTTTACATGTATTCATAGTAGCACAGCATTTCTTCTTCTTTTATGGCGTGACAGCCCAAAGTCAAGCCTTGGCCTCCTTGGCACAGAATTTCAGGTAGAGGTGAATTATTCTGTGTTGTAGGGCAGAGATAGGGGATGGCTTAAACTTCTTTATATTGGGGGAGGGGGAGATTATTGAATAGCTTAATTCCAGTATTTTGTACTTATATTGTGGATACCTGAGTTTCTTTGAAATTTTTCTCACTCTGTTCTGCCATGTTGAATGCCAGAATGTTCAGAATGAAGTGATTTGTCAATGTCCACTTTCTAAATTAATTGCCTTTACAGATGCAACATAATTACCTTTTCCTCCACACGCAATCATTTTGAATTCACAAATATTTCTTTCTTAGAAAATATTTGTTTCCTGTATGGAAGTGTGGCACAAATTTCATAACTTTTTTGCAGGCTAAGATGCCATTACAACCATCTGGGCTATAATATGGTATTTAAAGAACTTTGTTGTGGCCACCAACTCAATTTATGACATCTCAACAAATGTGTAGAATATATGTAAAAGATTTCCAAGAATGAAAACACTTTTACCAGTCCTATTACATGCTTCAGTTCTTGAATATCTCAGTGCAAAAATTATTTCCAAATGCATCAGTTCCTAGATGATCATAAAATTACATCGATTGCTTAGAGGCTAGCAGAAACTAGCTATAGTCTAATAACTACAGTTAATACTGTCATGAACATTCAGAATCAGAAACTACTATACATGATAGCAGAGGATACTAACTACCTGTCTACAGTCAGAGAAATATCTAAACTAGAACCGGAACACATATTTTTAACAAAATAGCATATAAAATTGAAAATGTTATTCATCTTTTCTTAAAGAATATATAGTATGATTTGATGTGGTGTAAATAATGATTAAAAGAATAATCTCCAATAAGCCAACACATATATTTAAAAATGTATCAAGCTAGACATTGTATTCACTGATAATTTTGTAATACAAAGTCAGTGCCCTCTGAATCTATGCTGTTTTCTGCCAACAATCAATTTCTAATAAACTTAATCAGAAGAAAGAAAGAAAACAAGGTTTAAAATGTATGGCCATGTATTTTGGTGAAACTTGTGGAAATTATATATACATTATATAGATTACACAGATTTGTCAATTCACTCATTTGTTTTGTTAATAACAAGATCAGTAATTTAAGTAGGTAACAGTCAATAAACTTGTTTTGCAGTCTAACACTCATTTTAAAAAAATAATAACTAGCCAACCAACAACCCTTATCCATTATATGGACAAATTGTATGAACATGTATGTCAATTTTGTGCATTGCAATTTCATGACTTATGCCTTCTCGTGCTCATTAATTAACATGCCTTCAGTCTTGCGTTCAGGACACAGTAAGAAAACAAACTTTGGAAAAGGATGCATTTCCTGGATATTCAGGCTTGAAACATCTGTATTTTAAAAGCTAAATTATAAATCATGGCACAAGCTTGAATAAGCATGAGATTTGGGCATGAAATTGTTTTAGACTGCATTGAAATGAAGTATCTTTTAAAATGCTTATTCATAGCATTATAAGAGCTCAGATACTTAAATTATGCAAATAACACAACAAAGAAGTTGGAATCAGAGCTTTATCAAGACTTCTTTAACAGGGACAATTAATATGCAATGAAATTAAATTCATTTGTTACAAGCTGACATTTTTGTGGGGGAAAAAACATTTACATTCTTAGATACGCAACACAACAAAATCATATTCATAACCCCACACATATGTAATGGAATGGATGATTTATCTGTTATCAATGCTACAAATCATCATCATCACCAGACCATCAGTGGTCTGTGTGCTTCATTGAGGAGGGCAACAGAACAAATGGGACTAAAAAAAAAGTAAATAGTGTAGACATTCCAAGACACTTGTTGAATAAATTAAGTACTACAGGAGTTTTCTTTTATATTCTGTACAGTTGGCTGTGTGAATTACAATGTTGTGTAGATCTAGATGCCTCCACACATAAAAACATTCGATTATAATGTTATAGAACTTCTAGAAAATAATACATTAAATTATCTTCTTCTTTACAATATTTATTAATAAGCAACAAAAGAAAACCAAGCCCAGATTAAGACATTTGTTGTTATGTATCAATCAAATCAAAAACATAAGAGAATGACACTTTAAATGATCTGCATATCATGCAAATTCTTGAACCAAATATAAACCTTAAATATTGAGTTCCAAGTCAATGTCCCTACAGAGGAACATATAAACCTGCAAATTGAACATTGCAAACAACTAAAAATCTGAAAACTTTCAACTTAGCAAGAAACATGCAGGATTTGAGGTTCTCACGGCTGTCTTCTGGGTTGCTGCGCTGTGTAGTCTGGTAGAAGTTTACTGACGTTTCAGAGGTCCATCATCAGGGTGATCACCCTGATGATGGA